CTAATTAATATTCATGAAAAAATTGGGACCAGAGAAAAAAGTCCGGATAATCGAATAGTCCGGATAATCGAGGTCCGGATAATCGAGGTTCGACTGTAAGAGAACCGCAAAAACTAATCTCCCATTAATTTAACAAATTAATAGCAAATTATGCTAAATAATAATTTTTAAAGTAAAAAAATGCTTAACCAAATCATCATTTTTTCACACGTCAACAGAACTATTATTTTTATTCTTAGCAATTATGTGAGAGGTTTGTCACATTAGGGGTAGAAAATGTTATCAATATGAAATGTGATATGCCCATGGCTTAATTACCTGAACAAGCCTCTTTACACTCCTCCTTGGAATTAAAGTTGTTGGCATTTCCTTGGCAACCACCATAAATAAAAAACTCACATTCTCCAGTCTGGGTGCTATAGAACCATTTTTGAAAATACCCCATACACATCCCAGGCTGTTTGGGGAGACCACAGACATCGCCAGCTGAAAAAAAGAAGCATCATAATCTATATGTATAGCAAAATTTGCCACATAGTCACAAACCTGACAAATAAAACTTAGGCTAGTACAATACAAGTATAAACAAAATTTTCCTCCATGGTTTTTGATCTCTAATCCTTTCTCCTCCCTTAGGGTCTTGGGGTCTGCATACAGGCAACATTTACTTCATTTGCCTCAAATTTCAAATGGACAGAATGTGGAGAAATTCTTCTTTTGCATGAGAATGTTTGCTACCCACGCTAAGATTAACAAAAATGTGAGAAAGTTTAAGAAAAAATGGCTGACACTGATCACTAAAGACCTGTGACTTCTGGCTCCATTTGAGGCAAGGCTGGTGGCCTGTCTTGGGCTTGCCCTTTACAGTTACTAGCACCAGCTGACCTTCACTGGCCTCTGGAAAAGGTTTAAGGGGCCAGCCAGATCCCCTGTCATCAGTAACTATGACCCCCTGGGGCCCCAGCTGAAGTCAGTGACCTAATGCAATCTGATGATGAAGCCACCGCTCTTATTTTACCCATCTCTCAAACAGGCTCAGGACCATTTTGAATAACATTCAACGCAAAGCATTGGTCTTTACAACATGATATTGTATGGCTAGCTCCATGAACGGGCAAGATAAACCCAATCCTGCATGGTGATTGGCCACCCAAGCAGCTAAGACGGTGCTATCTTGCCCACTCTGCAGGACTCTGTTGACTACCCTCTGTCTCAGTCTGTAAACATGTAAAAAAACTTGGCCAATATATATCCAGCCATCTTGACCTCACGCTTGGTCAATAATCCATATATTATTATTTATAATCCATCAAATATTTTCGCTTGCACACGATTGGTCCAAACGTGTCACATGACTGAATATTCCTCAGCCAAAACTGGGGAATATCCTTGAAAATTCCCCAATTTTCAAAACTGTGCCTGTTATGAAAAATATTTGAAGGACAATAAACACAATAGCCTCCATTTGACTTCGAAAATATGCTCGGATATTTGTCCTTGGACATTATCTGTTCCTTGAAGCTCACAGTTTTCCTTGAGCTTTGCTCTCGGAAAAATGTTCGCTTCTCGGAACAGATAATGTCTGTGGACAAATATTCAAGCATATTTTTGCACCAAATGAAAGCTATTGTTTATATAGTTTTAGAAAACAGCCCTAAGAAAATATGCACATTGATCGTGTTTATATTTTAATTAACAATTAGATTATGAGCATGAGATTTCTATGAGGCGATAGTTGATGAGGCCGAAGGCCGAATCAACTATCGCCTCATAGAAATTGAGAGTAAATAATCTAATTGTTTTAGTAGAATTCTAACTTTAATTAACACAAATAATGGTTTTCAAATATTTTTGAACGCATTATTGAACTTTACGCTTTAACAAAATTGCACATATTGAATTGTCCTTGGTAAATTTGCAGTTGTTTACGTGCGCGCTCCAGTTTTTCAATAATTTCAAGTTTTTAAAGTCAAGAATCCGTTTATGTCCTTCTTTTTGTCTTCTCAGGAATGTAATTATCCATTTACATCTAAACTTTCTTCCAAAACTTTGGAAAAATGATAGAAACATCGCATTTCTTGGACAACCGACAGCTACTACATTCTAATGGCTGATAGTATACCAGTAGCTAAGCCAATCAGATTGCAGCATTTGCATTAGTATACTAGTAGAATTCTACTAAAACTGGATAGAAACACACAACTAGCACAAGCTGTTGACATAATGATGGCGCAAGCAAAAAGAATTTACATTTTGATGATCAAAGTAAACAAGTTGTCTCCCTTTTTGGTCGCAGTGTTTTCTAAAAGAAATAGAAAACATGTGAAACTTTGGGAGAACTCGAAAAAGCTGTGGAAACACTCGTCTGCCGCTTGTGTTCCCACAGCATTTCTTGTTCTCTCAAACTTCCACTCATGTTTCTAATAAACAATTAGATTATGAGCTCGACATTTCTATTGCGTGATAGTTGATGAGGGCACAGAAATCGAGAGCGAGTAATCTAATTGTTTTAGTATAAATCTACTAGTCCTTCAAAACTTTATCTAAAACCTCTTCACAGACACTTTGAAAACAACAAGAAGTGGCTGTCATTTTGTCAACAACCACACACTGCTACGCTACTCACTATCTATCACAGAGTAGATAGTGAGTAGCGTAGCCAATCAGAGAACAGCATTTGTGATAGAATGCTAGCACATTTATACTAAAACTCGATAGAAACACACTACATGTTTTCTATTTCTAAAACATTAAATAATAATAATAATAATAATAATAATAATAATAATCTGGGCTATTATGTAAAAACTAAAATTAGAAGACATAAAGAGATATTACCTGCATGGGAGCACTTTTGGATGCAAGCAGCTTTGGTTTCAAAATTGTTTTCATTGCCCCCACTGCCACTGTAGAGAAATGATTCGCACATATATGACCCTTTGCTGTCAAAATACCAACGAGGTGAGAATTTAGCTGGATCGGTTCCAGTACCAACAAGCTTTTCCAAATTGCACACACGGTTTGACGCCACACTGGTGTCCCCAGGCTTTGGAACTAAAGAGAAAGAGTGCCAATAAAATTCAGTTAGTAAACATTTACCAAGAATGCAGAGGAATATTGTTCCAAAATGGAGTGCAATTCTAGACCCACATACAAAGTTAAATTCATGGGTATTTGAATGACCTGACACTAAAGTCAATTAAAGGTCATGTTTCACTAGGACAAAATTATTTTCACTACTGGTTGACTTCTGACAATAATTGAATAGTGTAACATCTTGACCTCATGTTTGTGTCTCCCCAGTTGGTCAACAGGTCACTTCAGCTCCATGTTGGCTAATCTATGCCAACAGTCACTTAGTTTTTGGCTAATAAAGGACTTTCTTCATTCTTGTTCATGTTTTCTCTTCATGTTGCTGTACAATCGTGTTCTCTATTCACTCATCTTTTATAAGACCAGTACATGCAACACGGACATGAATTACAATCAAATTTGCCAAGTATTTTGGAACTGCTAAGAGAATTTAAAGGGTCAACTGTATAAGCAGCTTTTGTTGACTTTCAGGGATTTTTAATGTATATTTCTTTGATTCTATTTTCTACAGTTATGTAGTCTTCCATTCCATGAACAAACAATGCCCAGTAATTTTAACCTACCCTTAGCAGCCTCAACAGAAACATTTACGGTAGCCGTCACAGTTGCAGACATGGAAATAGCACGACACACATATTGCCCTGCATCTTGCTCTTGTACGCGACGGAAACGAAGCGTTTTAGAATTGAAAGATCTCAATCTTGAATAAAGAAGACGATGCTTCATGCCAACTTTGCGCCATAAGACTTGAGCCGCCTTTCCTTCAATCCCACACTGAATTTCACCTGGTTTGCCAATTATCAGGGTTTGTGAAGACTGATGTGTTGGGCTGACCTTTAAGGAAATCACTGAAGAGGAATATAAACAAGATATTATTAAAAGAATTCCACAAACAGCAATGATTGAAACCAACAAAAGATTGTAAATCAACCATGCCAGTTGGTCCAAAGCCGAGACAAATTTTTTGCTTATTACTTAATTTTCCTGGTCTGGAGATTAAAACAGAACAATTTTAATACAAACAATAATTTGCATATTCACCAACAAGAATCAGTCATGACAAGTATATTAAAGACCACGCTATGACTTGGTCAGCTGAGGAATTTTTTCATCTTTAAATATTCTAGTGTTTTGCAAGTTACATGCAAATCTTCTTGAAGCTTGAAGCATCAGTAAAAAATATTCAAAGTTTGTTGTGATTAATATCTGGCTCCTCTAAGTATTATGATCACAAGTAGAAGACATCTGGCTTTTTTTTCACATCCAGGCCACAATGGTGAATTTTTTTCTCAGTTAGAAACTTACTTTTAATTGATTTGTTTTTGAGGAGGGTAGAATCCATGTGAACTGTGACAAGTGTACACATGCTGTTGCAATTTGTAAATGCCAGTTTCATTTGTTGGTTATCCTGTGTAATCGGACCAGTCCATCCGAGCGTTTAGGACACGTGATTTGATCGAGGTTCATTCCAGTTTGGGTCAAACCTCAGCACTACACGTTTTTGTTAATTGCATTGTTATTTCCCTTGTGTATGGTCAAAGGAACACTAACTGGACTTTCATTTTGTTAAGGAACTTACAGAGAATAAAAGGGATCGAACATTACCAACACTCGTGAATCAAGGTTACGGTAACACGAATTTTCGTATTGTAAACTGGACAGCGTCGAGCGTTTCCCTAGTTGATCTAGACGAATAAACGATGGATTTTATGGCTGTTACACAATAATTAAATTATTTAATACACCCAGTTCTGCGAAATTGGGGGTGGGGGTGGGGGTTGCTGCTCAACAAAGTTTTATGCAGGGAGCCCTAATCTGCTGCAAGTTTTAAACCCTTACCATGATTCCTTCATGAAAAAGCCTTCTTGATGAACAATAATTTTAATTCGTCAATGAGAAGGCTATTTCACGGACCATTAGGTGCATTTACATGTATTTGAGACATTTAAACTGCCCTTTTAAGCGTCCTGCTACACTTAACACAGAAAATGCAGTGGGGAATGTGACGCTTAAATACCAGCAGAAAATGCATTTTTCAAGATTCTGATCAGTCTGGCTAGAAAACATATATTAAATTGTGATAGTCGTATTTTCAGATGGCCAAGAGGTAGACAAAATGCCTTTTAGAGGAGTTGTGAAGTGCAAAAATATGTACATGTAGACTGCGGACAGTTCAACTTCCAGAGCTCACTTTACTGTAATACATTATCATTATAAGTCAGGCAACTTGCACGCAAAAGCATTTTTGAGCATTTACCATTCTGGGACCTTCCAGCATGTATTTTGTCAGTTTTTTACCACTGAAAATTGGACAATTGCAGAATGTGTGCTATCATTTACATGTTCTGTAAGCAGGGCTCGCAAAAAATTTGAGTTACTGCTTGCCCTTTGGACAAGTGGGAGGCACAATGACCTCATGGTTACTGCACTTGACCCCAGATCAAGTTGTCCACAATCAAGCCCTGGCTCAGGGGACATTGTGTTGTGTTCTTGAGCAAGGCACTAACTTAACTCTCACAATGCTTTTTGCCATCCAGGTGTGTAAATGTACTGATGAATTTAATGCTGGGGGTAACCCTGCAATGGACTGGCATCCCATCTATGGAGGAGTAGAAAAACTCCTAGTCACTCCATGTTAAAGAAACCACTGAGGATAAGCTCTGGTCTGATGGGCCACTTGGCTCGCATGCAGACTTTACCTCTCCAAAGTAACTCAATCTCAACTTTTACTTGCCCTGGACAAGTCTTTGCTCATCAGGCAAGTGAGAATGAAAAGTTAACTGCCAGAAGGAAAATCTACTTGTCCGAATAACGGGACGACACTTTTTTGAGCCCTGGTGAGGTGAGATATGTGGCAGCTATGGGGTGTTTTGGGGCCTGCTGTAAGTACATGCATGTGAAGTCATCAGCTCGTCACATTAGAGACCTTTAGATCCACGTTCACCACAAATGTCTAACTGCAATTTGAGGTTACACTTTTGCCATTTGCAGTTTGGACGTTATTAGGTAAAGATTGTCGGAATAAATTGTATCGAACAGAAATCATCCTGTCAATACATTGGAAATTGTCAAAATTATGCCAAAAAATTGATAAAAAAAAGTATGACTGTATTCTAGCATGTTCAGCTTTCTTTAACAAATAAATAAAGAAGCCTAAGCCATGTATTACACGGTGAAAAAACATGACGGGTATTTGAGAATGCGCGGGAAATGTAGAAAACACAAGCCACAGCTTAGGCTTACTTCATTTGCTTTATGATATAGAGCTAATATGGCAAAAACAATAGAACACACTTTTTCTATGTTTTATACTCTGATAAAAATGGGTTTTTGACCAATCAGAGGGTGTGCAGGGTCCTATCTATATTATAAAAGGAAATAAAAGCATCAATCATAAAACAAAGATTCAACTTAAGCCGCTGCCATATTGGATTTCCACAAGGATTAGTGCCTTTCTACAAACAGCAACAAAAGGTAAGGTAATTGCTTAATATATGCCTGAAAATTATAACCAATTTGTGGAAAAAGGGTTACTTTATTTGATTTCAGCATCTGTTTGTGGCATAAAATAAATTCAAGCCCATAAAGCTTGAGGTAAATGACTTACATGAAAACCTATACCTCTTGAAGTTCAAAACATGGGTTAGAAAACCTCAAACATGACATCTAGCTCTGGTCACATGACCCCTAGCCGTTCATGGTAAACGTAGATCCAAAAGTCTCTATTTTCATTACTTATACACAAGACTTACCTTGGCACTTCCCTTTAGAAACCATGGTGATGCCACCAAGCTTACATGACGTCATGTCTAAGTGACAACTACTTTCATAAGTGATACCATCTGAACCACAAACTTCTTCTCCAATGGAGTCTGGGCATGAGTCGCGACATCTGCATTCAGCATGATTGTTTTTATTCACAACACATACTTGCCCCTGGATGGTGCATCTCTTCTTGTTGCATAATTCGTCACCTGAAACACAATAACATAACATGTTCTTGACTCTAAACACATACTGTACAGTATAGTATCATTAACAATCTTTACCAAGTTCCAAAACAATGTCTTAAATTTTAATTTTAGCCAGCCATTTTGAACATTCTTGCTATGGGTACATGTGCTTGCATTCTTGTGTTGTTTAATTTCACGTGCCACCCTATAGCTACTCCTGACAACATTATTTTTGGTATATTTGACCTGTATCTTTCTTCAGAGAAATAAAACAACTAGCAGATACCTTTCAGAGCTGCAATTATTTATAACTAAATTCAACAAAAATGCAACAGTAACAGGTGGGCAAGTCTAAAGGGGGCATGAGTGCTGAACCTGAATAACACTACTTATTTTTTCTTCAGCTTCTTAGCAGAGGCTGATTAGCTAATCCTGTGCATTCCAGTGGTCCAGATTTTACCATCTGAATTCTAAGTACGGACTGCTCCAAAATTTCCAACTTTGGCAACTTTTCAAGCTTTTATCATTACATAAAACTACGCAAAATGTAAACATTCAACACTGAGTCAAACAATTATGGATTCTGAAATCTTTTTGCACTTGAAATTTCAAACACATGTGAGCACCAGATTTGAACTGAACAGCTTTAACTAAAGTGCAGCACAAAAGTTGCTTTCGAAGAAATACCATGGAGAAAAAAGTAATTTATT